GATACTGGCAAGGTGGACACAGAAATGGTGAATTAAACCCTTTCAGGGACCAGGAAATAAGTAAAGCAGAGATTTGTGAAACCATGGCTGTGGTTGGGATTGAGGCAAACTGTATTGGGGATGTTCCATTAAATTATGTCCATGTGGGCTCTAAGTTGCCAGATCTGATCATTTTCAGAAGCAGCCCCAAATCCAGATTTTTATTCAATGAAATGGATATTTTTTTAATGTAGACAATTTAATTAATTAGTGATGATCAAATAAAACATAGCTGGAGGCCTCTGGATCTGTGGCTTGAGTATATGATATCGAGCTGGATGAAACTGGGTGCAAACCTCAGCCCCTTTTCCTCTGTGCTCTGTTAAGTCAGGAATATAATCTGAGCTTTCTGATCCTGTTTCCTCTTTTATAAGATGCAGATGATAATAGAAAATAACTGCATAGAGTTTCAGTAAGAACAGGGCCTGACACATAGAAAGTACTTGATAAGCAATAGATGTCATGATCATTACTGCTGCTGATGATTGCTACCTCTCAACAGTCTGCTCGGAGCATGGGTTTGTGGTTAGGAATAGTTCTGCAGAGCTGCAGAAGAACAGATAGGCTGTGCCCAAATTGGTTTAACCTCCTCTGAAGGCTTTGGTCCTGCGAATGAAGGCCATCTTTGAGGTCAAAGCAAAAATAACACCCTGAGCAGGTGCATAAATGACCTGCTTTATCTGCAAGATCCAAGAGGCTGCTAAACAAGTGTTTTAGGCCATTTGTTCATTCAGTCTTTATTTTCAGAGCTCCTCATGTGTTCTATCTTTTAAGTAAAGTGCCACGGTGCTAAGAGAAGGAAGAAGCAGTCACTACCCTAAGAGCTCACATTTAGGCTAGGAGTGGGGCAAGAGAATGGCAGGAAAACAGGTTATATCTGTGCCACTTACCAGCTGTGTGATGTCGGGCAAGTTGCTTGACCTTTCTCTGTATCAAATTTCCTCATCTGCAGCATGGGGGCCACGGAAGCCCTCATTTTCTGGGGGTTGTCTTGTGGATTTACTAGGTTCATGCATGTAAGAGTACTCAGAGGGCCAGGGACAATGTCATGGAGGGCCCAAGAGTTGAACCGAGGTCATGGCTTGATTTTCCAGATGCAGACTCTGAGATGAGGACGGAGTGCAAAGAATTTCATCAAGGAAGTCCCCCCAGCTGGCAACGAAAGAGGAGACAAGTCCAGAAGGAGCAGCTGCCAAGCAAGAGTACAAAATTTTAGGTAAAGTCCCACAGAGGGATTCTGTGTAGGCTAGGCCACAACATAGCAGTCTTGACCATGAGGGGAAGTAAGCTCCCAGGAACTCACAGCTCTCTGCTTGAGCATGCAAAACAGCCCCAGGAGCCCAAGAGCAGTCCTCCCAAGAGCAGGTGCAGGCTTGGCTTGTTGGTGGCAGGAGGACCCCCCCTAAGCTGGAGGAGGGGCATGCAGAAATGGCAAAATCGACCTGCAGGGATTTGGAGGGAGCTTCCACAATGTCAGCCTCAGATGAAAAGCAGCAGGCACGGTTCTGAACAGTAAAGGATATTTGCTGCAAGCCAGTGCAGTGAGTCGGAAGAAATGGAGAGACCACTGAAATGTAAATGTCAAACTGAAGATATGGGTTGGATCCCAGCACTGCCATGAACTTCCTTCAGCAATGACAATCGTAATAATTGTAGCTGCTAAGGTTTATCGAATACATAAATGCTGTGGACCAAATTGCACTTTTTCCCTCCCCAAATTCATTTTTTAAAAAATTAATTAATTAATTAATTAATTTTAATTTTTTATTTTTTGATGTGAACCTCCCCAAATTCAAATGTTGGAATTCGAATCCTCACTGTGAGTATCTGGGGACGGGATCTTTAGGAGATAATTGGGGTTAAATGAGGCCATTAGGGTGATGTCCTTTGTAGTAAGACACACCAGAAATCCTACTCTCTACCATGTGAGGACACAGTGAGAAGGTGGCCATCTGTGAGCTAGCAGAGACCTCCCCAGGGACTGAACTCTTCTGGCACCTTGGTCTTGAACTTCCCAGCCTGCAGAACTATGAGAAAACAAATTTCGGTTGCCTAAATCTTTTGGTCTATGGCATTATGTTGTCATAGCCTACGCTCACAAAGACACCTATCAGGCACTGTTCAAATCACTACATACATCTTCTCATTTACACCTTACAATAAGCCCCAGGATGCAGATTTTGCTAATATCTCCGTGTTGCAGATTAGGAATATGATAATAGTAGCTACGATGTCTTCAAAAGGTGTTCTAGTCTGCCATTGTGGTTAGCACTGTACAGTTATTTTATAGATGACTGCTCTGAACACAGGTAGATGGTATATTCTTACCCCATTTACGGAAGAGGGCACAGATGTAAGCAGAATCAGGCAACCTGTTTAAGACGCCCCAGGGCTATAAGGTGCAACGAGGATTCCATCCCCCATGGACAAATCCCTGGTCTCTATGTGGGCAGGAAGGTTCACACAGCCGCTCGGGTGTGTGTCCTGTCTGAGAGCCATGGCACTAGCCTGTTTCTCCAAGGCTTTTCCTCAACGATGAAGAAGATGAGGCTTCCCGCCATTCTTCCCTCTAGAGGGAATAGTCACAGCACCCCCAAACTGAGAGGGTTATGGAGCGTGATTCAGAACTGTGTTTCCCAGCAGCACATCCACCCGTCTGA